GGCAGGCAAGTCTGGGGACCCCCGTTCCCAGAACGCCGACAGTAGCCTCCGGGCCCAAGGCGCGCCCGTGCTTGGGCTAGCAGGGAAGCGAAAGGGCAAGCATGAAGCGCCGCGGGCCCCAATAGCCTGCAGCTTTGGGCGCCGCATGGCGATTGATTGGACGTGGGCGCATGCGCTTCCCCACGACGCCTCGGCAACCGCCCATCTGACAAAAGAGGTGCCCGGGCCAGACTTACCTGCTTTGTTCTCGTTCGCCTTGCCCCAGATCTCCTTTCTCGCTCTCCTCCTTCTTGCTCCCGAAATCCTCTAGATCTGTCTCAATCCTCCTCATCCGGCACATCATGGCGCCTCGCAAGTCCCCGGCCGAGGCCTGGTACTCGCCGGCTCTGGATTCCCCGAACCTGTCGGAGAAGAACCTCGCCCTCACGCGCCTGATGACGGTGGCGCAGGGCAGCAAGGGGGCGACTGTGCTCAAGGCCGGCTCCGACCAGCCTGAAGGCAGGGGGAGCACCTTCTATCCGCTCTTTGTGAGCGCCATCGTCGCCGTTCTGGTGCCTCCTTTCTCTGAGTTCTTCTTTATTGTTCTCCGCCAATACAACTTGCAGGCTCTGCATCTCCACCCCAACTCTATTTTTCTCCTGGCGATTTTTGCTTACTACTGTGAGGCTCACGTCAGGGTAAAGCCCTCAGTGGCCTTGTTGCGTCACTATTTTTCCCTCCGGGTTTCTGGTGGCCATATCTCCGCATGTGCGAGCTTCATCGCATACTCCAATTCCAATGCAATATTGAAGCCTGGGAAGAGAATCGAAGGCTTCCGAAGCAAGTGGGTCATGGTGGACGTCGGACGCCTCCTCCCCCGTCTGGTGTTGCCTACGGGGCAGCCCAAGGCTGTCGACGCGTGGTCCCGCGCGGAGCTCATCGACCCCCGTGCGAAGGCGGTGCTGAAGAGGATGAACGCGAACCTGAGGCCAAGCAACTTGGGGGCGGCGGAGCTGACCGGGGCCACGCTCCTGAGGGAGTTCTTGGAGCACCGGGTGGCTCCACTCCAGGAGCACTCACTCCCGTTGTGGAGGCTTGGGGAAGCGGACGCCGCCTTGCGCCTAAGCTCTAAGGTCCTGACCGATGAGAATCTGGTCGCGGCCCTCCATTCCTTGGTTGGGGGAGACGTGGCGAAGCCGGTGGGCGCCCCCGTCCCCCTGTTCCTTCGTGATGACTGGGAGCAGGTGGTGAACGCCATGCCGACCTTCAATGGTGAGGGCTGGTGCCCGCGGAAGCTCCCGAGGGTCTTACGGCGCTGGCGATGGTGAACGTGTCCTCCGACAGCTCCAGCGGGAGCGAGGGGGAAGAAGAGGCGGAGGAGGAAGAGTCTGATTCTGAGGTGACTGGCGAGGAGCCGAGGGAGTCTTTCCCTCGGCGCAGGTCCCAGGCCCTCCGCTCCATGTCGGACGACGACGAGGTCGGCGCCAGGCGAGAAGGGGAGGACTCTTCCTTGGGCACAAGGATGGGCAGGTCAGGGCTGGTTCCCCCAGGGTCTGTTCTGGTCCCTGGGCGGTCTGAGGCCAGCTCCAGCCCTCCTAACGTGCCCTCTGCTTCCGGGCCTCTCGAGGCTGACCCCAGCTGCAGGTTCTCGGGCTTCAAGTTTGGCCGGAGGTTGCTTGAGTTCGCGAGCGACGACCAGTAAGTGCCCGATTCGTGCTTTGCTTGGTTTTTGCCGCCGAGGCTTGACGTCCATATTCTTTTGTCACGCCGGCGCCGGCGGCGAAGAGGTTGAAAGGGGCTTCTGCGGCCCTGCTTGGGGCGAGTCCACCTGCCGGGATGGCGCCTTCGTCCGCTGAGGGGAAAGACGGCGAGGCTCGCGCCTCCCCGGTCCGATCGTCCTCGCGAGGCCGACTAGGACGCCTCGGCGAGGAGTCACCCCCGTGGCCCCGCTGACCCTGGAGTCGACTGCGCTCGATGCTGCAGCCGGGGCAGCCAAGGCCCAGGGGGTTCCTTCCTGCCAAGCCATGATCACGTTGTCGTCCTCTTCGCCCGCTCCATCGGTTCCGGCTTCTTCTGTTCCCTTTGCCGCCGTCCTGGACCAGGTCGCCAGCGAACTGAGCCAGCTGCGGGAGGATCTTCTGAGCGCGGACCCTCGCCTAGCGGTCGGGCGCCTGGAGCTAGCTTCTGGCTGGGCCCGTTCCGCTGCCTCCGTCCGAACAGCGCTGAGCCAGGCCGTGGCGGCCTCCGATGGGGAGAAGCAGGCCGCCAACCAAGCCAAGGCCGCTCGCAACGCTGCCCTGGGCGACGCTGCGGCTGCCAAGGCTCGTTGCGAGGCGCTGGAGACCGAGCTGCAAGGCCTGCGCGACGAGCTCGCCAAGGAGGTCCACGGCCGTCAGGAGAAAGAGAAGGAGATGAAGGCTCGGGAGGCTGCCGTCAAGGACCGGGACGCCAAGCTTGATGACCGCCACGGCAAATTGGAGACGCCGGAGCGGTCGCTGAAGGCGGAGAGGACCGAGCTAGACGCCAAGGCGAAGGTCCTGGCGGAGGATCGGGTGGCCTTCGCGAAGATGGAGGAGAAGGCTCGTGCCGCGCTGAAGACGCTTTACGAGAGCGGCTTGGAGGAGCCGTTGGCCCGTGCGGAGAACGGCCCCGCCAAGCTGCTTCCCTTTCTGGTTCGTGCGCTTGAAGATGTCATAGACGGCCTTGGCCTCACGGCCGAGGCCGAGGCGCGTGCCCTATCTTCTGCGGTGCTGACGCATGTCCTCAGCCATGTCTACCTGCGCGACCCCAATGTTGTTGTTGTCGTTGTCGTTGTCTTTGTCGTTGTGTGTGTGTGTGTGTGTGTGTGTGTGTGTTATATCTAGCTCCCGCGGTGTTTTTTGTGTAGCTCGGCCCGTCAACTCCCTGTGGTGCTGGTGGGTCGTGGCAGGGGTTGTGCCGGCTAGAAGATCCCTTTTTTGGTGGTGTCGTGCGTTCATGGATAGAAGGGAGGGGTGCCGACGGTGTGTGTGCTTGATTGTTTGACTAAAATAGATGACCCAACTTTGTATTAAAGTTAATATAAAGTTGGGTCATCTATTTTGAAACGGAGGGAGTAGTTGTGAATGTCTATGATAGTTTTGCCCCCTTTTTTCTAGTTAAACTGGGTAATTATATTCTTTTTAGTTGACGAGAAGAGGCGAAACTTTTGTCTTTGTTTTATAAAGTCGATGTCAACCATTTCCCAACAAATGATGCCATTGAGACATATTATTGTTTTGAAATTTATCTTGAACTTACCAAATTTGGGTGCAATACTTCCACGATTCATCAAATTTAAGGACGAATTGCGATCTTGTCATGGCTAGGCCACACACCAAGCACGCACATTGTCCTTCAGCAAAAAAGAGAGAGAAAAGAATAGAAAAGCACACACATTCTCCTCATGCATGGTGAGCGAGTCCAACCCTGAGATAAACCTGGTTGAATGGGGCCCCTTGAGATATAGGCGAAGCAAGATTTGCAAGGTGTAAAGTGAGTAGGCAAAACGCGGGAGCGGAGAAAAAAAATCACACAAAGCCTCCCAAATTTGTTTCCACTTTGCTGGAAAAAATGTGTCGGGACCGCTCGACAGACCTGCGTTGGATGGCTGAACAAGTTTGGGCCGCATAGTCCGGACGGTTGCGGACGGTTTGAGGAACGGCGTTGGAGATACCCTTACTCTTTCTTTTATGGTTTCATCTACAGAGATTGCTAAGAGTTCACAACAACTGTAAGTATGTTGCCAAATTGAAGTACGATGATATAAGCAATCACCGGAGAGAATAAAACGAAGCAAGATTTAGTGTTTGTGATGAAGTGAGTAGGCAAAACGCCAGATCGGAGAAAAATATCCCACATTGACACGACAGATTGGCTGAACACACATCTGTAATCCGTTTGTTTCGCTTTGTCCGTACGTCCCTCTCATGATTTATTATGGCTTGGCGCGTTGGTCGGTGTCCAGTGTCGACATATATACAACCAATGATGTGCCCCGTCACCGCCCGTGAGTATGCAGCAACAGCTATCGTGCACGGTCTCTTTTGTTCCACACTCTGCAGCCAAAGTTTGTTGTGGTCGGCAGCACTCAGCCGTCGGTCGCCGTGCGTGCGTGCATTAGATAGTCAGTGCGCGCCAGCGTTAGATACTCCCAAGTTTCACTCGTCTCCCGGAGGAAGAGAAAGATGCGGACCTTCTCCCGATGATTACGTCCGAAACTGCAAAAACAAATTGCAGGCAGATCTCGAGAAAAGCTGCTCCCCGGGACGAGGCCTGCCTGCCTCGCCGGCGCTAAAGACCGGTGAGTGCCAAATGGAATCTTGAGTTGATCCCTTCTCAACGGCAACCGCAGCTGCAAGCCCCCATGATACGAAACGTGCACGATCCCCGAGCCAGCTAAACAAACCTCTCTTACTTAAACAGCTCCTTCAGCATGAAGTTTTTAAGACTGCAAATGGCTGCACGGATTGCTTGTAGCTTGAGATCGGCAAGCTGTTGCACGCGCTTGAGGTCTGCAAGTGCGCGCGCGAGTCCACCGTTCACAAGTTGCTGCTGCGGCGTGCGTGCACGGTCACATCTCGTGTTTGTCCATCTAGTGTTTGTTCAAAATATCACATACTCTAGTACAGTGCACGAGAGGCATTTGGTGTAGCCTTCAGAAAATATCACAACTTAGATCAACAGGGACGTTCCAGAGCGATGTTTCCTTTCATCACTGGGGACCTGGTCGACCTCGCCCGGACACACCACGATTGCCGTCGTTTTCCTCTCGGTGGTATCCCGACGCCCTTGCCGTGTTCATCTCCACGCACCATATATACCTGAGCCTTCCCCTCCTTTCTCCACACAACTCGCTCCCTCTCCTCTTCTTCCCTCTCCTCGCACCACCAAGCTAACCTCTGATCAGCATTTTGCTCCAAAGTCACCTACACAAACATAACATGGTGGCATCAGTGGCCTGCTCCTTCTTCTTCGATGACGAGCTGCTCGGCGAGCCCGGCATGCCGGCGCTGGACGCGTGCGCGCTCTGCGCCAAGCCTTTGGCGCACGACCGCGACGTCTTCATGTACAGAGGGGACACGCCCTACTGCAGCGAGGAGTGCCGGCACGAGCAGATGCACCTCGACGCCGTGTGCGCCAAGCAGGACGCGCGGAGGCAGCAGCGGTTCTCGGCGGGGACGGAGTCCCACCGTGGGCAGCGGCAGTCCAGGAAGGTGTCCGTCGCGAGCTAAGCGGCCGGCCTGGCCGGAGCACGTGGCCGAGGAAAGTTTTGTTCGAATGGACAAGGTCTGAATTCTGAAGAAAGCAACATCTGTATTCTGAAGAACAGTCGATACTTTCTGGTTGGGCCAGCGTCTCTCAAGCCGGTGCTCTTGCCTGAACTGGAGGAGCTATCAGGTGCGCCTTGGCGCCGCCTACCGGAGGCAGAGCACGGCAGCATCAGGTGGTTGGTGCCTGTAGCTTCCCAAATGTGTCCATGGCAAGCTGGTTAAGCTGCCCGGATGGGAGGAAATTGTACTTGGTTCTCGGTCGGCCTGTGCTGCGCTGTGCCGATGAATTTTTTTGTTAGTAACGAATTCAGAAAAAAAAATGGATCTGAAGATAGCAATCAAGCATCATTCACATTTGTTTAACTTCAGTTGGGGTAGCTCGTCTGCTCCATCTCTTATTTTGTTCCCCTTGATGACTGACACTGTGCTAGAGCACTGTCGCTGTAAATAATTCAAGGCAATCGATATAGAAGATTTTTCTTTTATGAATTATAATTATTCAGTCAATTCAAATAAGGCGTATCTTGTTGAAGCCAATAAATAGAGCTGAGGTTATAGTTAAAGCAGCCAGTAGAAAACCAAAATAACTAGTTAAAGTAAGCATGAAAGAGTTAAATTCCATTTTTTTTACTACACTACATATGTTGGTAAAGCATTTACCTAAGTTATGGAAGATTCATAATTCATCAGTTATTTTAGATAATACTAAAAAACAAGATAGAGTAAGATACAGAAGTGTAAAAGAAAGTGGATTCATCAGATGATACATGAGTCCCTAATTCCGAATCAAGAGATTTGTTGTGGAATTTGTCAACTGAGTAAAGTAATAATATTAAGAACTAGATCATCTAACCCCATTAAATGAAAAAATGAAATTCAATTTTCAGGGAAATTTTTGAGTGTTGTTCCCCTAAATTTTGTAATGTTCATCGCAATCTGAAATGCAAGTTACATGTACACTAGTGCGCAGCCGTACATCATTTCAAAATTCTTTTAATCATTTTAAAGGAAAGAAACAACCTTACACGACTAGGTCTCACCTACGAAAATGAACGACCTTATCGATTGAATGACATGTGGATCCATGAATCTCAAAGCAATCAACCGAATCAATTATTCCTCATCAGCCCATCACCAATTTCCTCCCCGAGCTTTGCTACAGATACGTAAATTCTTTAGCTGACCTGGCTTAATTGGATTGGATTGGAAAGAGACCCATGCACACCCCCTGTTTTTTTTTGTTACGTAGGTCTAGTGTACCTGGCCCGGCGCAACACGTCGCCGTACCTGCTAGCAGCTTTGCACTCGTCCCGCGTGTGAATCTCCTCCGGCAACCTGTCCATTGCACCGGGAAGCTTGCGGGGACCTCGAGGGGTTGGTGCTCGCCAAATTGTTAAATCCATGAAGAAAAGAACGACGGTGGAGGGTTTTTTCCTTGGCCATGCAGCTCTTGTTACTTTTCATGGCACTTCTCTCGCCGGACGGCAACCCACTTGGTGGTGGCGATATCTCTCCCAAACAACCTCCTCGCAACAAGCCCTTCCTGGGAAACCTCGCTGCCATCGGCATCCTCCGCATCGTTGCCATGCGACCGGTCCTGTTGCTGCTAGGATGACACCCGTTGCGACGGAGTTGGACGCATCACGGTGCTCCGCCTACTCGACATGAGCGGTCTCATCCAGTTGCGACTCTCTCGTCGGGATAACCGGATAAGTATGTTCGTCTCTATAAAATCCTCTATATTTTAGGGTCTTCAGTGTAAACTGCAATAGCCACGCGTCGTCGATCGGCTGAGGACGACCTAGTGCTATGGAATTTTTTCCATTTAAATTGGGCCTCCTTTCTATTGTGTTCGTATTTATAAGCCAATACAATATTTTACCATATTTTTTCCCATGATGTTGGTAAACCTAAGTCAACTGATTTACGCCAACTCCAGACTCAAAGAAAAGTCGGCTGATTTACTAAGTCAATATTCTAATCATATTGGTGTTTTTACCATGCATCTGGCACCCCAAGGGCGAACCCTAGCATCGTCTATACCCCCTCCCTCATGCCCAAATCCCCTCGCCGCTGCGAGGTGTCACCACTGAGTAAAGCTCGTGTTAACGTCGACAGAGGTGAGAATATGGCTAAGAGGCAAAACTTTTGTCTTCGTTTAAAAAAGTATATGTCAACAACATTTCCCAACTTCCCGACAAAAAAAAAAACATTTCCCAACAAAGATGAAATTGTAATGTATCCTTTTCTAAAAGAAAATTGTAATGTATTGTTTTTAAATTTATCTTGAACTTACCAAATTTAGGTGCAATAGTCCCGCATTTATCGAATTCAAGGATGAATTACAATCTGGTCATGGCTGGGCTACACACCAAACACACGCATTCTCCTTCCGAAGAAAAAAAGCACAAGCATTCTCCTCACGTATGGTGAGCGAGTCTGACCCTTAGATAAACCTGGTTGAATTGGGCCCCTTGAAATATAGGCCAAGCAAGATTTTGCAAGGGAGTGAAGTGCGTAGGCCAAACGCCCGAGCGGAGGAAAATATCACACATCCCCACGTGAGATTGGTTGAACACACATCTGTTTATATTCCTTTGTGTACGTCTCCGTCGCCACGCATCGCTGAGTCAGAGCCGTCAGGAGCTGATGCATCATGGCTTGCCGCGCTGGTTGGCGTCGACAGACAGCAACCAATGGTGCGCCCCGTCACCGCCAAGTGGGCCGTGACTCGTTGAGTATGCAGCAGCAGCCAACACCTATCGTGCAAGGGAACGCCTCTTTTTTGTTCCTGGAAGCCGTCCTACGAAAATTAGCAAGCCCAGTACTCCAAGGTTTGCTGTGAGCAGTCTGACAGCGAATACTTCCAAAAGAAACTGCCGTGCGTGTCAGCAATGTTTACGTTCACTCTATCAGAGAGAAAATGTCGATCTTCTCCCGATGTTTGCGTACTCCGATGATGCTTACGTGCAATGCGTCAGTGTTACTCGAGCAAGCCGCAAAAACAAATAGCTCGCCGATCTCGAGGAAAGCTGCCCCCCCAGGACGAGGCCTGCCTGCCTAGCTCACCAGAAAGAACAGTGGACTCCGAAGCGGCCAAGGGAATCTTGAGCCGGGCAACGGCAACTGCAACTGCAACTGGCTGGTGCTTCCCCCTCGATACGAGACGTGCACGATCCCCCAGCGAGCTAAACAGACCCAGCTAGCAAGTAGCAACCTCCCCGGTTAATAAGCAGCTCATTTCCCATTTTTCTCCAGCAGCGTCCTTCACCCTGAAGTTTCAAGACTGCAAATGGCTGCACGCATTGCTTGCAGCCGCCGCTAGCTGGTGCGTGAGCAGGGCATCCGGTGGAGTGCCCGCCGAGCGCATACAAGATGCGGGAGTGTGGGCGCGAGTCCACTGTTCTGTTCACAAGCTGCAGCCGTGGCATGCATGCACGGTCGCACGGATGCACCACACCTCAAGATTCCCACCGGCATGACACTAACTTAGAGGGGACCTCGGATTATTTTTCTTTTAATTTTTTTTCCTTCATTTATTATCTTTGAAAAAGAATCACATACAGTACAGTGCACGATAGGCATTGATGTCCATTATTAGCGCGGCCAAGCATGTGGGGCACCTGTCCCGTATGTTGGCAAAAAGCCTGGCGCGCTAATTATCAGCACCTGTCTCGCATTAGCACTAGTTTAAGCAAAGCTGCCTAATTTTATGCTGATACAAGTACGGGCAGAATACATTGGCGCCCAAGTCTCCGACTAGAGGAGGCACGACGAATTCTTCTTCAACTGCAATGATTATAGACGCGAATACTGATCGACTCCGCTCTTTTGCTAGTACAGACTGACGGATTTTAAACCGGCTGTAGAATGACGAGTTCTATAGACCTCTGTCTTCTCTCAGCTTTTTAAAACCGAGTGGCACAACATTACAAAAGCTTCTCGAATTTAAAGCATCTCCAACAGAAGCGCTACACAGGCGCCGCGCCGTAAATATACCCACTTTAGCGCGCGCAACCCGGCGGATGGCTCCAGCGGGTGCATAATAACCGCGCGCGCGGTATAACCAGTTGGGCGCGCGGCAGGAAGCGGTACCTCGCGCGGTGTATTTGCGGCGCCCGCTTCCGCGCACGGCACACTCGACTCTCGCACTGCGCTCTTCTTCTCCCCCTTCAAAGCCCCGCACACGCCGGCGTCGGCGACCCGCACCCATGGGCGCACGCGCCGG